CCATCTCATGTGATTCATATGGATGATGTGCAAGTACAGGATAATCTTACTGTGGAGACGATGCCTGTACGGATCGCGGATCGTGAAATAAAGACTCTGAGGGGAAAAGAGATTGCTTTGGTTAAAGTGGTTTGGCTAGGAGCTGCCAGAGAAAGCATGACTTGGGAGTTGGAGAGCAAGATGCGAGACTCCTATCTTGAGTTGTTTGATTAAGGTAAAATTTTTAGGACGAAAATATTCTAAGTGGGGGAGAGTTGTAACGCCCGTAATTTAATTAATTATTTAATTGAATTATTTTTGAAATATTTGTGAAGTTGTGTATGATATTAGTTGACGTGTTATAGTTATTGGATTTATTTATTCTATTAAGTTGTGGAATAATATTAGAATAATAATATTATTTGATGTGGGTTTGTTTTAAAGGATAGAAGTAGAAAAAGGGGGGTGTAGGAGTTTTAAGCCCATTAAGGCATAATAAGAATTATAGGATTATTATATTAGTTTTTAGAAAGAATAATAAAAGAAGAAGCTGTAAGAAGAGAAGGAAATAAGGGTTGGAAGAGAACGTAAAAGTTGCAGAAAAGAAAGAAAAGAGGCAGAACGAAATTCAATCAGAAAATTCGTAGAGCAACCTTCAATCCAAGGTAAGGGCAGGGTTCTGACTCTATAATAGGATTTATGATGATTAGTATATGGGATTAGATGTGAAAATGTTGTCTTATTCATGATTTGAATGTATATGTTGTTGTACGATGAAGGTCAATGATTTAAGGATGAATAATGATGCCCTAATGTTGCATAACTGATGTAGAAATATAGGATAATTATAATTGATGATTATCTATGATTAGAGGATGTTTTTAGGGCCTAAAGCATGGAAACTGTAGTGAAAACGGAGAAAATATTCATGACAGAACAATATGTATCGACCCCAAAAGCCATGCGTAAATGCATGAAGGCTTTTAGACTCAGGATGAATCGATACGAAGGAGTCATGCGTCGATACATGAAGGCTTTTAGACTCAGAATGAGTCGGTACGAACGAGCATGTATCGATACATGCAGTGTGGAAGACTCAATATGAGTCGATATAAAGGGAGTACGCGGCGACTCATGTAGCCTATTAAGCCCAGTACACGTCGACTCAAGATGTTATGCGTCGACCCATGTAGTCTGGTTTTTGACAGAATCGTTTCCAAAGGCTGTAACTTGAGCTTCCGGATTCCGTTTGAGGTACTGTTCGAAGCGTTGAATAGATGACGCGATGAAATTCATTCTTAAGGATTAAAATGAAGGATAGAAAGGATAATTCTAGTAACCCAAATTAGGATTAGAGTTAGCTTTCCACGTAAATCGCTATGATGATTTTGTGAAGTGTGATGAAGATGAGATGATTATGGATTTCTGTTTGGTTCATAACAGTAAGATTAATGATGATAATGATGTAGTATTACATAATTAATAATATTTATAGGTTTATTAATTTATAAGTAAGCCTTAAATGATTAATTAATTATAGGCAATATCATGTTGTAGGCCTATGGCCAACGTTGAAGGATTGTCGATCTACCGTTGTATTGTTGTTATGGCTGAGTTGCTATAAATTATGATAATAAATGATGTTGATAATTGGTGTTGATGAATTATGTTGATGATTTATGATGATAAATGATGTTTGATGAATTATGATGATAAATGATGTTTGATGAATTCTGATGACAAATAATGTTTGATGAATTATGTTGATGAATGATGTTGATGAATGATGTTGATGAAAGATGTTGAGATGCCTCTAATAATTGGAAGCTATTCAGATGTAGGATTCTGACCAATGATGATGTTGTGTTGAGATGTTGTTAATTATGGTGTTGTTATTATATTTATGATTGTGTCGCATACATTGTATTTCAAGATGGAGCTGATGCTCGTTAAGATGGCCTGTGTTGGCGGATATTAAGATGAAGGCTTATGCCTTGTTGATGCCTCTATTTATTGGCAGTTATTTTGAGATGGGAGTTCTGCTCCAATGGTACCACATGCATTTGCATAATATTGAGTCGCATTATATGATTGCATAAGAAGTTTTGCATTGATGCGATGAATGTGTATATTGTTGGTATTCTGTTGCGATTATTGTTGTTTATACGATGAGAAGTGGTGATGTTATGTGATCTAATTTAATATATTATTTATCATACGTTTTATTATATTGTTAGATATCTCACCCCTTATGTTTGAATGTTACCCTTACGTTGGTAACATGCAGGTAATCCAGAGTGAAGGTGGTTTACCTTCAGTAGTTCGAGTCAGTGTCATTGCTCTGATACGTAACACTCGGGGGGATGAACGTTTGTTGCTTTTAGTTATTGATTATTTCAGTTGTTGGACTTTAATTTGATTGTTGTTAAGTATGTGTTGTTTTGAAGTTGCTGTAACGATGGATAAAGATGTTATTAAGAATTCCGCTGCGTAGATGTTTAAGTTGTTGAATTAAGAGATTAAATTATTATGCTGATAGTTCATCCGAAGTTTTAAAGTGTTATGTATCCATGTTGAATGCAATGTGTTTTTAAAGTTGAATTTGTGGCATCCTGATTCAGTTGCATGAATTTTATAACTCTGATTTATATTTATAATTGCCGGGTAGAATTGGGGTGTTACATCTGACCCGTTGGCATGCCCGTTTTACCCACACATTAATGCGGGACGGGCTAAGAATTTACGTCTTCATTCTCTAATGTGACTGTTCCGTTCCGTCCCGTTTTTTTCGTGGGTTTTTGCGAGCATGATTATTAACATAAAATTTTATATTTTTAGGCTTAAAAGATGCAGCGTCCGCAGGCTTTCCCCGTCCCACACTCATTTTTTGTAAGACGGATCTAAGTTTTAGATCATCATCATCAATTATGCGCGCCCCCGTCTTATCTCATTGTTTTGAAGACCTTTGTAAAACAGATCTAAACGGAATAGATATGTCCGTTTGCTAATCCTAAAAACATTTGTTAATATCATTTATAAATTATTAAACTCATTTTTGTGAAAGGATTTTATCTACATATATTTTTTTTATTCCTAAATCCTAATCATCTTCGTATATAACTTTCTCCTTGTGTTTTGCCGTAAAACTAAGAGCTGTATTAAGTTATTGCGGTTTTTTAAGTATAAATTATTGTGATTAGATTATTAGAGCATGATTATCTGTGTTCTTTGAGAGTTCCTACACATTTATTAAAGAAATTGTGTCAATAATAAATGGATATTTCACTTGTTTTCACGTTCCTGAACTAAAGCACGTCCCCGTACTAAAACACGCTTCTACACTCCAATTAAGTGGGTCATGATAATAAATTAATAAATAAAATTGCAAGAATGTAGTTGATTTGTTTTAAATATGGGACCCATTTTAGATTTTTTGATGAGTTACATGAATATTTGAGAATTGTAGATGACTTGTTTAAAAAATTAAGAAGTGCGAAAAAATATAAAAAATTATATGAGTCTCATTTAAAGAACTCAAATGAGTATGATGGATGTGGGTGCTCTTAGTTAGTATTATCATCATTATTATTTGTTTATAAATAGTAGTTGTTGGAATTCATGTTTCTACACTTGACCTTGAAAAAGAAAAGAATATTTTGGTTCTACCAACCGGCTCAGAGATAGTATTATTTAACTTTTAAAATAAAATATTTATTTAGCTAGATTCGTTAAGATCCAATGTATAATTTTCAAATAAGAGTTCCTAATAATAAGACAAATAAAACAGTATTGTTTGTTATAATATATGCGTCACTTTGGTCCTCTGTAACCAGAAGGACCAGCCTGCTAGTAAATACTGCCTCTGTTATTTTATTATAAATAGTTTTCGATTTTTCACATGTATTAAAAAAAATTATTATATAAAAATGAAAAAATATAAATATTTTTATAAAATTATCATTTATTAATAATAGAAGAAAGATAAATTTATATAATTGAATACAGAGAAAATAATAATCTTTTAAAAGTATAATAGGAAAAATAATATTAATTATTCATTGGTAACGTAAACCTATTTATATTACGATATAATTTTTTTTCTAAAACAATTTATAATTAAAAATAGAAAAAATATCTATTTTTGTTTTAAATTTAAATAAAAGTAAATAATTAAATTCAAATTCCACCCCCAAAGGAGTTTTGGATATCTCCTTCCTCTTTCATCACTACATCTGAACTAATTTTTGTAAATTAAAAATTTTCATTTTTGCAACCTCCAAATATATCTTCGAGAAAAGAGATGGTGCATTCAAAATGTAAATTATTTTTACACTGTCAACCAATAATAATCATATAAAACGTTAAGTTATATTATAAATTTTAAAATATTTTTATGATATGACATTAAAAAATATTTTGATTGAATGTCTGTATAATATTTTTTACATTGAGAATGTACTACCATTAAACTCTATATCCTAACTCTAATAAATATTGAAAATAATACATTAAAATAATATATAAAAATTTTAAATATATTTTTCAAACATTTTTAATAATATACAAATCAAATATTTATGTATTTTCAAACAATAATTTCTAAATTTTCAAAATTAAATATTTTGAATTATTCAATAGAACGGATTTAAAGACAAATTTGAGATATCTATTAGTGTTTCTACTATTTATTTCATACTCATATTTTGAAAAATCAAGGAAAATACAATCTCAAACCAAAACCAATCAAAATGGATTTTTACCATCAAACTTGAGCAAATTAGGACGAAATCCACATATACAATATGTTGCTATATTTACACGATAGTGTTAAATTCTTTTAAATGAGAAAATTCTACTACTCATTAAAATCCTTCTTGACTCGAGAAATTAACTTTATAATAAAAAATCTATGTGGCCACGACCACTCCATCTAAAACGTGAATTAAGTGGACAAAAAAAAAATTGCCTTATAATTTCACTATATAAGTCGCACAGCTAGATACTCTTCTGTGTACATAAAAATGGAGGAATCATTGGAGAAACTGATTTCTTATATGGTAAATTAAATTTCATAGTATATGATTTCACAATCTTTATATAATTGAATATTGATAGTACTCGTTATATATTTTTCATAGGAAATGGAAGATGAAGTGATGAATCAAAGTAGTAACTCATTTGATGAGCAAGAGTTTCTCAAAGATATCATCCTTGAGGAACCAGAATGTGAACCCTTTTCTTATCTTTGTTCCAATGAAATCCAAATCAACAGTTCCATTTCTGCAGGAAATATTAACATTGAAGGTGGTGTCACTAGTCCCTCAAATAGTATTTTGTCCTTTGATTACGATATTGAAGCATTCCACAAAAGTTATAGTTCAAACTCTATAATTTCTTTGGAAAGATCATGTGTTGGTTCTCCAGCTACATACCTATTATCTTTTGATAATTCTAGTGTTGAACCAATTATTGAACCATTGTCAAATAAAAGAAGGAGTGTGAAGAAAGATGAGACAAAGTTGAAGGAAGCAACAAAGAGGGTTAGAAGGTCTTGTGAGACAGTGCAAGATCACTTGATGGCTGAGAGGAAAAGGAGAAGGGAGTTAACTGAGAATATTATAACACTTTCAGCCATGATTCCTGGCTTGAAAAAGGTTAGCTTCTTCTTTGAAATTCTTTACTCATCTATACTAAATATGATTTCGTTGATGATGATGACTATACCATATGTATGCGTGTTCAAAATCGAACCAATTCAATAGAAAATCGTAAACCGAATTAAATCGAAAGTGTAAAAAATTGCATTTTATTCGGATGTGTTTGTGTCATCTTTTAATAAAATCGTATGGTTCGACTCGGTTTGTGGTTTGTACTTTGTAAACCGCATTATGCTACAACCTAAATTTTACTTAACTCACGTTGAACTCAAACCTAAACCTATTATACTTGACATCCTTACACTTATAGTTTCAATTTCAGTCTTCTTAAATCTCTTCTAGCATTATCGTGCAATCTTCGCCACATACATCTTGTCTCTTCTTCTCTAACCCCTACTCTCTTATATTCTTTCTTTTTCACCATCTCATTTTTATACAAATGTTCCCTTTTTCAATTTCATTTTTATCGCACATCTTCTTCTCTAATCTCTCATCTCTTATATTATTTCTTTTTCATCTTCACTAATCTCTCATTTCTTCTATTTTTTTGTTTCATTATAATATTTTTGATATTGTTTTATGCTATTATTTTATATTTATTATTTCACTTTTATTTAATCTAACTTTTACATATTAAATGAGAAGTTGTTGTCCATATATGATGAGTTTTATTGTTATTTGATAGTGTATGAACTCAATAAAATATTTGTAAAAAATCAAATCAACCGAACCAAATAGCATTAGTTTGATTTTTGGTTCGTTTTTTCCTTCTAAAAACCAACTTAATCTAATTAAACTATGCATTTTTTCTCTCTCTTGTAGTTTAAATGACTTTTAGTGTAAAAAATATCTAAACCGCACCGCAAATACCCATAACTATATGTGATCTATAAAAACAAATAATATAATTTTTTTAAGCATGTAACTGTATAACTGTATCAATGTAATGCAGATGATAAAGAAGTTAATTACGCTTTTATTGAATAAATCAAAATAGTATAAACCCCTTGGGGGGTTGGGGTGGGGTGGGGTGGGGTTTGGGGTTGAGATCCTCTCTATTTTACTCAATAAATAGAGATGATTATTATTATAATTTTGGACAATTACATAAATATACATATTTTTGTGTAATAAACTGCATATATTTTTGGAAATTGGGATATTAATTAAACATTTATACGGAAAAATCATAGTAAAAGAGATGTCTATTTCTGATTCTTTTTATAAATAACTCTCTTTTTCAATTATATACTAAATATCTGTTTTCAAACAAAAATAAGTACAACAGAAACCATGCACTAGACTAATTGTCGCCTATTTGCATTTTCTATATGTATGTGTCAGTTATATTGGTGCCTATGTGTATTTGCTATATACATGCGCCAATTGTTCTGATGCATATATAACTTGTACATACATATAATAAATGCATATAAAAGTTAATTGATATGACTCATGCTCTTTATTGCATTTTTTTTTTGAAATATGTATAATTTGATATATATAGTTGGAAAAATGGTTATTTTAAAAATCAAATTAGTTAAGATGATTATGTTGAAAAAAAATTCTCCATTTCTTCTAGAAAATGAAATGCATATCTACTCTTTTTTATGATGTATGTTGAGCAAGAAAGCCTCGGACTTCTAAGCCTTTTGCATTTGGAAGGTCGAGTCCTCTCATTATCAATTATACTTGAGTGTGATTTATAAAAAATGTCAGAAAAGTATAAAATTTTGAGACTATTTCAGTGATCTTGATCACCCCGCTTCATTAGAGAGTCTGACATATGAGTTTCGTTAAAGAAGACTCAAGTCGTGAAAATATTGTTCATTTGATGAGGGTGTGTTTTTATTTATTGATTTCTATTTAAAATCTTATTGAATCTCATGTGAACGTGTGCGAATGAGACAAATTAAATAATATTATATATTCTAAAACTATAATATTTTTAACAGTATAATATTATATAAATTTATTTTTAGTTAAAAGAATTTCGTTTAATTATTTTTATATGTTTTAATTGTGAAATTTAATTCATATATATTGTTGGTACAAATATTCAATCATAATTTTTTCAAATTATTAAAAATATTTATTTTAAAAATTATATATAATTGGTTATGATTTTCTAACGGTTGAAAAAAATAAACATTATATGAAAATTAATTTTTTTTTAATTTATCTCAAGAAAGATATTATTAAAATAAGTTAAAAACAATTTTATATAGATACATGTCAGAACTATTTCTATAAACTCGTTTAAGTTTGTATATGAGCTTAAACAAATTGTTAATTAATCAACTCAGATGTACTCATAATATTTTAGATAAATACCTCTAGCATATGTGGAGATTTCAATAATTCATCTGTCTTTTTCGTATGAATAAAAATCAAGATAACATATTATAAACTAACATGTCAGATGAACATATTCATTACATTTGTCTTGTATCAATCATACTTACTAACTGCACCTATACTTTTAATTGACTTTTAATATAAATACTTCTAGTGTATCATTGTTGTTTTTTGATAACATAGAGAATTATTATTTAATGCTGTATTATTATTGAATTAATTAAATTTTAAAATGAAAAACTTGTCTTATACAAACATGTTGTGCATTATTAAACCTAATACTAAAGGTTAATTAACTTTTTATATGTCTGTTAATATTGTAATTTTTAACTATAGATGGATAAGTGCTATGTACTTAGTGAAGCTGTGAGTTACACAAAACAGCTTCAAAAACGGATTAAAGAATTGGAGAATAATCAAAACAAAGATAACATAGTGATTAATCCAGCAATATTCAAGTGGAAATCTCAAGCTTCATCAAATAAAAGGAAGTACTCAGAATCACTGCTTGAGGTTGAAGCTAGAGTCATGAAAAAGGAAGTACTCGTTAGAATTCACTGTGAGAAGAGAAAGGACATAGTGTTCAAAATTCATGAATTGCTTGAAAAGTTCAATCTCAATATAACCAGTAGTAGCGTATTGCCATTTGGTGCTTCAGTTTTTGTAATTAACATTTTTGCTCAGGTATGAAGCTATCTACTTTTCATTATATTATATATAATTATAAAAAAAATATATTATGCCCGTTACATTCTTTAATTTACACTAATGATAAGTTTGATAATAATTTAATAATATATTATTTTATTTATATTTTATTTATTAATTTATATTCTTTTAGTCAATGTGAAATAGTCAAATAATTAAATTGATTATTATAGAACATAAAGTAATATATTGATTGATATTATTAAACTATAGATATTATATTTAGTATTCCAATCTAAAAAGTGTATGACTTGTAATAATTATTGTCTCATCATTAAAAAGGAAAAGCATATGTTAGAAATGTTACTCTTTTTAACAACTCTTTGTTTGCTTATACTTTTCTAATTTGTAATGTTGGGATAAAGTGAAACCCTAAATTGCTAAAGCTTCGATGCAGATGGATGAAGAAGACAGCATAAGCATGGATGAGCTTGTGAAAAATCTGAAAAAATATCTGTTGGAGGTATGTGGGATTCAATAGTGATCCTTTCTAGTGCATCAAAAAATAAAAGAGTTCTCCATGTGTAATTATAATAATGGAATGAAGATGTTTTGGAGAACCAGATCTCCCTTGGTGGATTGGTTTGTTTTCTTGTGTCACATAAAAAAAAGATGCTGTGTCCTTGTTTGTTTATTCAAATGCTATACTTACTAAAAAGTCTTAAGTTCGTGTAAATTAACCAATAGTAATAAATTCACTTTTGCATAATATAAAGGATTTAAAATAAGAGAAATGCTCCTTTAATTCAAAAACAAACATTGACATCGTATATAGTTTTTATTAACTTATAGTTTTTTTTTTTAAAAACAATTAATTCAAGTAGCTCATATCTTAAAATTTAATTTATAGTTTTTTGTTTTGTTTTTTCCTTTCAATTTTATCCTTGTTATTTTAATTTTAAAAATTAATATTTGTCAGATGTGTTTTCATTGGTATTGTCTTCTGACAACTTATGTGATAACTAGAATTAGAGATTTTTATCGTTGAGTCACAAAATTATTGACGACTTTAAAGAAGTCAATTTAATTGATCAATAGAATAATAGTTGATGTTACATCATCGTTATAGTGCAGACGGTTTATATTGAATAATTTTTTATATAAAATTTTTACTTGTGCATATCAATCATATATTAAGTTAATAATAATTTACCAATTAAAAATAATTTTTATTTGAAAAAAAATATTTTTTTCAATTGAAAACCCTAAATTCCTATCTCAAATCCAGACTAACTTGTTCTTCGTCCTACATCTTCTTCTTCCTCCTTCTCCCAAATCATCATCCATCTTCCTTCAATGGTGCAAACCAAATTCTTATTCGTTTCAGTTCATTCTTCAATGTTTTCAACTAAATATTATTCATCTTATTTGTCCTATCCCCTCACCCAATTTCATATCTGTATTCGTGTTCAATTTATAGCTTTTAGAGCAAACGTTCATCTACTTTGTATTGGTTGTGTTGTTCATCCAATAATATCAAAATTTTCCCATCTTCTCTGTTCTATTCACTCACCCAGATTCTTATTCTATTCTCATCCATATTTGTTTATCTATGGTTCAAAGCTATAGTGCAATGTCGTAGTCTCCTTTCACAGGTAGTTGTTCGTATCCATCCCAATCTTTATATTTTCTCAAAATCAAGTTGATTTGAGTTATTACACAGTAATCATTAAATTGGGTGTTAGGGTTTCTATTTTAAGTTGAAGTTGATTTGAATTATTTCCTAGAAACGATCAATTTGGGTATTAGGGTTTATAGTTTAAGTTGAAGTTGATTTGAAATCTTACCTAAAAACGTTCAATTTGCAGATTAGGTTTGTATTTATAATTGAAGTTGATTTGAACTCTTACCCATAAATTATGGAATTAGGGATTAGGGTTTGTATTTATGTAATTCATAAATTCTGAAAATTGCATTTGCATTGAATTAGAAGATAGTAAAATAATCTTCATTCAATTGAATATGTAGGATTTTATTTGAATTTGGAATTCATATTTTGACGTCGTGTTATTGAGCATTACAGTTGCAATTCATTAAATCTGAAAATGAAAATTTATTGTTTCAATAAAATCGTTAGCGATTCAATTGAATTGTGGATTTATATAGTAATATTATTCAAATTTAAGTTGTGTGCTATTGTGAATTATTTTGATTATTTATTCTTCAAATATCCCGAAGTTAAGTAATGGCCGTAAACAATTTATTCAAGACAAGTTTGAACTCGAAAACACACACTGAAGAAGGGCTTGAATGGGTAAATAAAACAAAGTTAATGGGTGGTATTGAGAAGCTTAAGTGACTTCTATGCGTGGGGTGCAAGGACATAACATAATAAATACATGGCTATAAATTTGAGATAAACTCTAGTACATTAACTCTTATAGTATGATTTCGTATATAATACTATGTATTTGAGTTCAATAATGAAAACTTTTTAGTTGCAATTGAAGTTTGTTCTTTTGGATAATTGAAAAGTCCACTTTTAAATATTAAACAACTACAAAATTTTGATAAATAATGATTTATCCAATGTAATGATAAACATTTAAGTATTAGCCATAAAAAGTACTAAATTTGTTGTAATTTAAAGTTTATGCTAAGTCAAATAGAGTGAAAATTTTGTTTAATGGCAAAATATTCAAATTTTGTTACAATGCTAACTTTAGTATTGGAGTTAAAATTTTGTTTTTGGCATTTTGGTTTAATAGAAAAAAGTTAATGAGTTAAATGAAAACTTTTGTTTATTTCTAATATCAAATTGTTACAATGAATTTTTTTGTGCTAAGCCTATGGTTAAATTATGTTGTTAGACAATCACTTTTTCTGACTTCAAAATGGCCATCTTGAAGTACTTAAAAGTTTCCCCTTCTGAGGTCTTGGGCGTTCATGATGGTATTTTAGTTGTGTACCGAGCATAAATCTTAGAAACTTTCTCTTGGGTTATTCCTTGATATGTTCCACCTAAGGTGCACTTCTTAGGATAACTTCCACAATCAGGGGCTCATCAGCTCCACCAGGTCAATCCATGGTTCGACCGACTAAGGCAGTTTTCTAGGGCACTTCTTGCTGGTAAAGTCCCTCATACTCGTGTTATACCCTAATTTTTACCCCTAAGATCCCTCATTATTTTGCATCTTTGCAATACATCAAGATCAAAACCTTGGGGTGCCTCTTTACCATTGCTCCATCTTCTATCTTTAAGCTTGCCTTTGAGGGATCACCAAGCACCCTATTGTGAATATTGTACATTTGTTTATACATGCTTTATATTTTTATAACCTCTAATCAAAATAAAAAAAAATGCTTTATTTGTGTTGCAAGGACAAGTTTGAACCAAGAGGATCAAACAAGTTTCATCAACTAGGGTTTCATTTGATCAAAGTTAAAGTGTGCTCAACATTGATTCTCAAGGACTTGTGCATTATGGATTGGCCTATATTCTTAGGTCATGTCATCTTCAAACATCATTAAATCCCAATTGATCAAGAGATTCCCAAGGATTGGTTTATTATTCTTCAAGATAATTCGATGGTTCATATGTTTATTTCCATGCCTTCAACATCAAGTAACCTCAAGTGTAGCCATGTATATATTAGAAATTGTTTGTTGATTGGTCAGAATTATGACTACACCGAAAAAATTATTTTAACGATTTCTCCATAGAATTTTCTACTAGAATTAGAACCATGGTCGTTATATTTACCCTCCCAACATATTTAAGTAAATAATTGTGTTGACCACTAGGTCAATAGCCAAAAATAATTAAACATATACGTAACACTCCCTAAACCCCGCACATGATATATGGCATAATCAGAGTAAAATAGAATGCATATCAACGAGGACGTCACATTTACTTCACGACAACAACACAAATACAATGGTCATGCTTATAACACACATTTAAAATCATATTCCATACACTAACACATATGCATCTCGTAGCCGAATAATTCCCATTTTAAAATAATACTAATGATTGAAATCCCATACTGAAAATCATATGATAAAACATTAGGCACTAAAGGCCACCATCACATAATCTCAATACAATATAAATAATCCAGAGAGTATAACAACATCTCTCAAACAAACATGAATATAACAAATATAACACAAATCCATATGTTTCCCGTGTTACATGACCAGAGCATGACTCACTACTTAAATAAGGCTAAACAAAGAACTAGCTCCTCCGACTAATCCTCGCTAGGAGCACCACCGTTATCCTTGGTACTTGAGCGATGTCGTATAAAACATCATTTCAACAGAAGGGTGGGAATTGATATCAATATAGAAATATATAATAATAAGTAATGCATAACAACATAAATCAAATTAATTAATCACACTTCACATAATCGTGTATTCAATATACTTTTACATGATTCAAATGATTTCATATACAACATTGCTCAATGATTCAAGATTCAAAGATAATCAATCACAAATACCACAAATGTATATTGAACACCAATTCAACATTCACATCGATACATGTGACTCCAATACAACTCAATGCAATATTCATGTGGTACCAATTTTTATCCTTATCGGTCCTGCCGGGTCCATATCTCCAAGATAAATAACCACCAAAAAGCCCGTTCTCTAAGCTTTCAAACCCCCATCTCCAAGTTTGAGACAAGTCAATAATTCCCATGGAATTACCAAATATTTCCTCTTGACAACTCATGATGCATGTGCAATCTCAACATATATATGCAATTAGGACAATCTCCATATCTTAATCGTACAAACATATTTCACATGATTCAACACATTTGAATTATCTTCACCAAATTGCACAACATACATACACCATGTCAACAATCACACAAAATGAATTATCATAGCATTAATCACCCAAACACGTTATTATAATATGTAGCAAATAGATTCTAATCATGTTATCCACATTCATCATCAATTCACATCATTCTCATTCACAAAATCAAGTATCATATTTCCATCAAAAAGTGCTTCAAAACCAATCCAAAACACATAATTAAATTCCACAAAATTCATGATAAATCATATACATACATGATCTAGAACAATTTCAGAAAATAATAAGTTTTGCATTCTAGACCGTGCTAAGCGGCACCTAGGGCGCTAATCGGCCTCGTGAAAAACCAGAAAAACCTATTACGGACAACTTCTGCCTTGCTATGAATTTGTCCATCCAAATTACATTCAAACATATATATTTCACCAATTAAATGTATTATAATCTATATCTAACATATAACATCAAATACAAACATCAAAACATGATTTTCAACATCAATTTCATGATTTCACATTCAAACCCTAACATGTCAAAATTTAGAAATTGAAGAACAAATCCCTAATTTCATGTTACTATCCATCACATATCATTACATACACCCATAGATCAATGAATACCCACCCTTACCTTGGATGTAGATACTCTAGGGTTCTATCCTCTTTTCTTATCCTCTTCTCCCTTTCTCCTCTTTC